TGTGGATCAAAGATCAAGGCACATCGTATAATTCTTGTGTCGAATTCAGAATACTTTGGTAATATGTTACAAGGTGGATGGAAAGAACAACATATGAAATTAATACCCATAAAAGAAACAAGGTTTGATACATTTCGTATGATTCTTTATTACCTTTATTCTGGCAAATTGATGGACACAAGTCTTGTTACCCTCTGTGACGTTTTTCGTCAAGGTGACATGATGATGTTGGATGATTTGAAGGATTTAGTAGCAAGGAAGATGAAAATGTTGATAAACGATGATACCTGGGATGAAATCCTGTTATTGGCATGGAAAACAAAAGACTTTCAATTGAAAAACATTGGGTTGGAATACGCGTTTGATAATTGGGAAAGGGTGAAAAAAGGAATGGGTTTAACGCGCTTATTTGAAACAAGTATTGTTGAACAATTAGAAGAATTGTTTTTTGTAATTAATAAAAGAAAAGAGATGGTGAAATGGCAAATTCTTAATTAGTTGTAAACAATTTATGTCTTTTAGGGTGCGTTTCATTTTCTTTTATAAAAGTTTCTGCATTTTTGTAAGATTCACAAATCAAAGTTTTTGAAATTCACTTATTATAAATCAAATAATTCTTCCTGCCTGTATTCTGGAAAGATATTTTACAATTATAAATACAAATTTTATAACTTACTAGATTAAATTTCTTATTCGCTATCGCGATCTACATAGATATAAAATAATTAATAAAAAACAAGCTTTTCAACAATACACATATACTGTATATCATAGTATAATCTTGAAATAAATGAAACATTTCGAGACAATTTCAATACATAGGGTGGACTGTGCATATGATCATGTAAAGTAAAAGGATACTGTTTTGTCACTTAGCTCCTTTAAAAGATTAATTTGTACAGGTTACGACTTTTATCGCATCAATATGTGGAGAATAACGTTTCGGATATTACATATAGGAAGTAAAAAATAATTGTAATGGTTTAATCAATTCTTATTTATTTTTTTTTAAAAATTAAGGATAAGAAGTTCGGTTTAATCAAATTTTTAATTATATGAAAGCTTTGCAGTAGAATGGTATGAAACTTTAAAAAATTTTCTTTTTGAGTTAATCAAGTTAATTTATTAAAAAATAAAAAAATCATATTTAGTTTATAAAGTAAAATATTAATTTTTAGAGTTCTTACCTTTCTACTGCAAAGTGCTCATGTAAATTTATAAAATATTTTTATTATTAAACAATCTTTCTAAAATATAAAAATTGAAAATATTGTATATATTTAATATTTTAATTATTAAAATTAAATTTTAAAATTAAATTTTATTTAAAAATAATAGATTTATAACGATAATAAATATTATAATATATTTTAACTAAAAATTAAAAAAATTGTAAGTTTCTATGTTTCTATATAGATTTTTGCATAATAATTATAATAATTAATTGAAAATCATGAATAATAACATTACCAAGCTTTTTTTATTTTATTTATTAAGTTAATAAAATTTTTATATTTTTTATTTACTTAAAAATATATATATTATTTTTTTAATTATATATACATGTAATAAATAAAAGATTACTAAATTTTTAATATTACATTTCCTAATTTAAAATTACTTATGTTAAAAATATTAAATAAATTTCTAATATAAAATTATTTTTTTGTTTAAACTTTATAATATTTTTTTAATATTTTTTAAATTTAAAAGTAAAATATAGAATCTATTTTCTATTTTAATTAAAAAGAAAAATAGTAAAATAAGCTAAATTAAGCAAATTATTGATAAAATTAATATATATTTTCTTTTTTATTTATAGTTTATAAAATTAATTATTTATGATATTCAAATTCTAAATAAAAATTACAATTTTTTAATTTTAATTGAAATATATTATTTAATTTATAATAAATTTATTATTTTATAGTTTTTTTAAAATAAATATATTTTAGTTTTATAAAAAAAATACTTTATTAAAAAATATTTTATTTTTGGATCTTAAATTAATACAAAAATTATTAATTTTATTATATATATAATTTTTTTTTGATTAATAATTTTTAATATTTTCTAAAGAATAACGAATTAATAGAAAAAAAATTTTCTTTTTTTTAGAATAATGCTTGCTAAAAAAAAAAGTTTCGAAGCGAAACTTGTACAAAAAGTCTTTAGCGTTCATGGATGGAAGGGTTAAAAATTGAACTGGATAAAATATTTCGAGTTGATTCGAGGTATTTTTTTCAAAATTTTTTTTTTTTTGCAAATCTCGTATTTAATGGTTTTGCGGTGTGTTGACCAAATTTCGACCATTTTATTAGTGTTATGGTAGAATTATTTCTTACAAAATTAAACTACATGCACATATGCCTTACTATGTTTAAGTAATGCAGTTAGATTGAAAGTTTTTTAAAAAGTTTTTTTTATAGATAATTCTTCTTGGAAGTTACAAAACGATGTTTTCTTTTATTACAAGACTAAAAATTTGAGTTAAAGCTGTTGAAACGTACATTCCGTCCAATTTAACAAATATTAAAATTAAACTGATTTAATCATTTTTACAGAAGAATACACGTTTTCTATAGACTCTATCATAGGTCACCTTTTCCAAGAAATAACAAATAGTTACAGTATATCGATGTTAAAGTGTGTGATCTTCTCATAATTTGAAATAAAGTTCAGATAATGTATGACATAATAGACTTTTTTTTTTAAAAAAGAAATTTATTTAATCTTAAATTGCAAAATCATTTTCATGTACAATGTTGATTAAACTTAAGGGTTTATTTATTTTCTTGTATCCACACCAATTACAGTATATAATAAGGCAAGTTTCTTTCTTTTTTACATGGTTAGTTTCGGTTGATGTAAAAATTGTTGACTAACCGAATCAAAACAACAATATTCGATTACGAAGAAACCTTTCCAAAACCTATTGGTTGATCAATTTTTCAAGTTAATGTTTTTTTTTTGTAATAAAGGGTTTATTATAATAAACGTATAATGCAAATTTAAAAAATTAATTCTGATGCAAAATTTTTAAAAATGATTTTGTTTATAAAAAAGATTCAAAATATATATTAATTTGAAAATAATATAGAAAGTATCGCAAATAATACGTCAGAACATATAAGATTATAACTCTTCCGACACTCGTCTAGTTCAAGAAGGAGTAGTTCTTCATCAACATCTATTAATGTCGTCCTATTATGTCGTCTTCGATTTGTTAGTTTCCTTCTTCTTATTTACTCCTTTTTCATCTCGATCTACTTCTTCTCCTTCTCGATTCATTCTACTCATGATTCTTTATGCCTTGACCAACAAATATTTTCAGCCGGTAAATCATATGTTGCATTAAGCCGATGCTCCAACTGGAATAAAGTACATATTGCCTCTTTACGTCCTTCCGCCTTTATTACAGATGAATCAATGATTAAAGAATACAAACGTCTAGAATTAAAAGCCGCGACTCCATTGCCTTTATAAATATTATTCATATCAAAATAATTTCATAAAAATATTCCTTAACGAAATTCAATGCAAAAACAAAAACTTTTTAATGTCAGATTAACATTTAAATATTATAATCAATTTAAAAAAAATAATAGTTACTTATTAATTAATAACATTAATTTTATAACATAAAAATTTTGTACAATTTTGTAATAACTACATATTAAATCAACATAAATTAAACAAAGATTAATTATTTTTTTTACCTTTTTAATACGTACAGAACTAAAAAAAAAAAATAAAGTTCTAAATTATAAATTCAACAAATCTTTAAATAATAAAATAAATACCAAATAATTAAATAAACAAATAACATCAATCAAAACTCAATCACAAATCAATCAACACCAATAGATACTAAGTCAACTTCAGAATTTCTAGTTTCGTATCGTATACTGTGGTGAAACAAAAACGGTTGCAGATCAAGCGATATTCTTTTGTTGTTACACATAGTGGGCTTAAAATTTTTTGATTAACGTTACATTTTATTGGTGTGCACATTTTTTTTTTATTTGCTTTTCTCCAAGAATTTTAATTCATTTCTCTATATAATAAATTTAATAATTCAAAATGCAAGCTGCCAACAATTCGACAGAATGGGTTAAATGGATTGAGGATTCAATTTCAAGAAAAAATATCAAAAACTACGAATACAAACATTTTAGCAATTTTCAAGAAATCGGTACTGGCAGCTTTGGAAAAGTCTATCGTGCAATTGTAAAAGTTCAAAGCAACAGTTCGCGTTAAAATTGTTTCTTAACTTTAACGAAACCACTGTGAAAGAAATTGTTCGTGAGGTAATTTACATACAAAAGTAATATATATTTCGTTTGTTTAGTATGTGTCAAAGTAACTTTATATTTGTAATAATTTAGATTGAACTTCAACGAGACGTTGAATTTCATGATAACATTATCTGATTTTGTGGGATAACTTCATATCAAGGTAAATGTTCATAAATAAGTCTATACAGTCATACCTCTCTATAGCGAATTTTTATATAACGAATTTTTTGGACAACTATATTAAATTTACCCTCGTTATAACGAATTAGCCAATCAAATTCTTTAAAAAATTCACTATAGCTCTATAGCGAAGTTGAAGTTCAGGACATAAAATTCGTTATATCAAGGGTTGACTGTATATCGAATTTTTTTTTGATTTAACTCAATTTTTTATTATTAAAAATTAAAAAATTAAAATGATCAATTAAAAAAGTATTTATTAGTAATGGAATTTGCTGATGGCGGTTCGCTTGGAAACTATTTGAAGAATAATTTTGATAATCTTACTTGGGAAGATAAATACAAGTTTGCATACCAGTTGGCTTATGCTGTGTCGTATTTACATGAAGAAGGAATCGTGCATCATGATTTGGTATTGTTAAGCTTAAACTGTTCGTCGTTAAGTTAACAAAGATTATTTGCTAGCAGGGAGTTTAAGTACGTCTAAACTGTGAAAGAAATAAACACGAACAGTTAAAATGAAGTGTCAGATCGTCTTTATTGATATAGATTTAAAGAAGAATGAAGTGTTTTACGAGTAAAGATAAGGTTTAGAGATAAATATTATTGTTTTATTAGAGAATTGATATCGACTCTGCCATTTAGCAGGTCAAAGATATAGAGTATTTATACAAAATAAAATAATAGTAAATAAAATATGATAAAT